ACTTTTTTTTCAATGGCACATGGAACATTCTTCAGAGCAGATCATATATTAGGCCACAAACAAATCTCAATAAATTTAAAATGACTTAAATCATATTGGCCATCTTTTCCAACAACAGTGTGAAATTAGAAATCATTTACAAGAAGAAAACTAGAAAAAAAAAGAAATATTACTACACAGCAAATGGGTAAACAAAGACAGCAAAGAAATCAAAAAATACTTTGAGACAAATGAAAATACAACTTTTTAAAACTGCAACAAAAGCAGTTCTAAGAGGGAAGTTCATAGCAATACAAACCTACCTAAAGAAACAAGAAAAACGGGGCGCCTGGGTGGCTCAGTGAGTTAAAGCCTCCGCCTTCGGCTCAGGTCATGATCCCAGGGTCCTGGGATTGAGCCCCGCATCGGGCTCTCTGCTCAGCAGGGAACCTGCTTCCTCCTCTCTCTCTGCCTGCTTCTCTGCCTACTTTGATCTCTGTCTGTCGAATAAATAAATAAAATCTTTAAAAAAAAAAAAGAAAGAAACAAGAAAAACCCCAAGTAAACAATCTAACCTAAACTACAAAAAGGACAACGAAGGCCAAAGTTAGTAGAAGGAAGGAAATAATAAAGATTAGGGTGGAAATAATTGAATAGAAACTTAAAAAATCAATGAAACTAAAACCTGATTCTTTGAAAAGCTAAAATTGAAAAACTCGAGCCAGACTCATCAAGAAAAAAAGGGCTCAAATGAAAAAAGAAAGGGTTCAAATGAATAAAAGCAAAAATGAAAGAGAAGTTACAACTAAAACCACAAAAATATATAGGAGACTATGTAACACAGGAGACTACCTAGAAGAAATGGATAAATTCCTAGAAACATACAACTTTCCAAGACTGAATCACAAATAGAAAATCTGAATGTACCAATTTCAAGTAACAAAATTAAATCTGTAATTTAAAAACTCTCAGAAAACAAAAGTCCAAGACCAGACTGCTTCATATGTGAATTCTATCAAACATTTAAAGAAAAGTTAGTAACTATCCTTCTCAAGTTATTCCAAAAAATTAAAAAGGAAGAAATGCTTCCAAACTCATTTTACAAGACCAACAGAATCAAAGATACCACTTTTAAAAAGGTCAATATCCCCAGTGAACACCGATGCAAAAATCCTCTTCAAAATAATAGCAAATCAAAATCAACAATACATTAATAGGTTCACACTCCATGATCCAGTGAAATTTACCGACATAATACACCACATTAACAAGACTAAAGATAAAAATGTGATCATCTAAATAGATACAAAAAAGCATTTGACATATATAATATTCATTTATGATAAAAACCCTAAGGGAGCAATTACAGAAAGAACATACCAAGTATAATACAGGCCTGATATGATAAACCCTCAGCTAACATTACACTCAATGGTGAAAAGCTGTAAGCTTTTCCTCTAACATCAGAAACAAGACAAGGATACGCATTCTCACAACTTATTCATGATAGGGAAATCCCAGCCACATCAATTAGGCAAGAAAAAAAAATCAAAGGCATCTAAATTGAAAAAGGAGTAAAATTGTTACTAATTACAGATGACATAATATCATATACAGAAAACCATAAGGCTCCACCAAAAAAAACTGTTAAACTAATAAAATAATTCAGTAAAGTCACAAGATACAAAATGAACATATGGAGAAATCTGTTTCATTTCTATGCACTAATAACAAGCTATCAGAAAGAGAAATCAAGAAAACAATCCCATTTAAAATTGCATCAAAAAGTTATACCTAGTGGGGCACCTGGATGGCTCAGTGGGTTAAGCCTCTGCCTTCGGCTCAGGTCATGATCTCAGGGTCCTGGGATCGAGCTCCGCATCGGGCTCTCTGCTCAGCAGTGAGCCTGCTTCCTCCTCTCTCTGCCTGCCTCTCTGCCTACTTGTGATCTCTCTCTCTCTCTCTCTGTCAAATAAACAAATAAAATTTTAAAAAAAAAGTTATATCTAGAAAAAAAATTAACCTGTGAAAGACCTGTACTCTAAAGAGGACAAAATGAAAAATACTGAAGATAACACAAATAAATGGAAATTAATATACTGTGTTCATGGACTGGAAGAATTAATATTGTTAGAATGTCTATACTACACAAAGCAATATATGTACTTAATGCAGTCCCTAATAGGGCACCTGGATGGCTCAGTCAGTTAAGTGACTACCTTCAGCTCAGGTCATGATCCCAGAGTCCTGGGATCAAGTCCCACATCAGGCTCCCTGCCTTGCAGGAAGTACACGTCTCCCTCTGCCTCTCCCCCCAATTTGTTCTCACAATCTGTCTCTTGCTCACTCTCACTCTCTCAACCAAAGGAAATTCAAAAAAAAAAAAAAAAAGGAATTAATGCAATCCATTTCAAAATACCAATGGCATTTTTAATAGAACTAGAACAAAGAATCCTGAAATGCATATGGAACCACAAAAGACCCTAAATAGCCAAAGTGATCTTTAAAAAAACAAACCTAGCGGTTATCAGGCTCCCTGACTTCAAAACATGTTAAAAAGCTATACTAATAAAAACAGTATGGTACTGGTACAAAAAACACACATACGTCAATGGAACAGGATAGAGAGCCCAAAAATAAAGCCACACATACACAATAACCATTTGGCAACTGCCTTAATAATAACTGACTTAGGCAGATTCATCAATAGATGCAGTATTAGTTTTCTATTGCTGCTTTCGGAAATGTCAGTTTCATGAAAGACCAGTAAAGACCCAGGAACTTCCAAATTAAAGGATTCTAAAGAGGGGCGCCTGGATGGCAGAATGGGTTAAGCTTCTGACTCTGGGTTTCGGCTCAGGATGTAATCTCAGAATCCTGAGAACAAGCCCATATTGGGCTCTGCACTCAGCGCAGAGTCTGCTTGAGATTCTCTCTTCCTCTCCCTCTGCCCCTCCTGCTTATACTCTCTGTCTCTCTCTCTCTCTCACACAAATAAATAATAAAATAATCTTTTTTTTAAAAAGTATACTAAAGAGACACAACAACTAAATATAAGTAATGATCCAGAATTTTATTTTGCTATGAAGGAGGTTTCTAGGATAACTGGTAAAACCTGAATTAAGTGTATGGATTAGATACTAGTTTATATCAATAACAGTACTATATCAATGTTAAGTACCTATTTTGACAACTACATTATGAGAAAATTTCTTTGTTTTCAGGAAATATAAAATTAAATTATTTCAGAGCTATTTATTTTCTCCTAAATTATTTTCAAATGATTTTTAAAGAATTATGTATAGATATAAATATTTATACACACAAACACACAGAGAACAGATACATGAATACTTCGTATGATTCTTGCAACTTTAAGAGAAAAAAATCCCACGGTACAGCTCATAAACAAAAAAGCATAAAAAAGCTGGAGATAATTGAGGAGATAAAGAAATTCCATATGAAGTTGAAGTCAAGGTAATAGAATTGTTCAGACTAGAAATTGAACATGAAAGGAACCATAACTGAAGATATTCACTAGAATGGGAGAGAAAAACTTAGTTTTAAAAAGCTGTTAAAAGGAAATGTCGGGGGTGCCTGGGTGGCTCAGTGGGTTAAGCCGCTGCCTTCGGCTCAGGTCATGGTCCCAGGGTCCTGGGATCGAGTCCCACATGGGGCTCTCTGCTCAGCAGGAAGCCTGCTTCTCCCTTGCCCCATCCTCTCTGCCTTCCTCTCTGCATACTTGTGATCTCTGTCAAATAAATAAATAAAATCTTTAAAAAAAAAAAAAAAGGAAATATCGGGCACCTGGGTGGCTCAGTTGGTTAGGCTACTGCCTTTGGCTCAAGTCATGATCCTAGCATCCCGGGATCGAGACCCACATCAGGCTCCCTGCTTGGCAGGGAGTCTGCTTCTCCCTCTAACCCTCCCTCTTCTCATGCCCTCTCTCTCATTCTCTCTCTCTCAAATAAATAAATAAAATCTTTAAAAAAAAAAAAAAAGGAAATGTCCTCTCAGAAATTAATTGAACTGATTACTCTACGAGGTGACATAAACAAAAAAGGTGACATAAAACAAATTTTAAATGGATTAGACAAATTCATTCATAGCAGCTACTGAGGGAAACTATGCATGCCTCAGAGATCCTGCAGTTCAGTTCCAGACCACCACAACAAAGCTAATATCACTTTTAATAAAGTGAGTCAAATTAATACTGGGGCTTCCCAGTGCATGTAACAGTTATGTTTACACTATACTGTAGTCAACTGAGTATGCAATAGCATTATGTCTAAGAAAACAACTACATACTTCATTGCTAAAAATTGCTAACCATCATCTGACTTTCATTGAGTCATAATCTCTATGCACAGATCACCAAAACAAATAATGAAAATGTTTGAAATACTGCAAAATGTGACACAAAGTGAGCAAATGCCGTTGGAAAAATGATACCAACAGATGCGCTCAATGCAGAGTTGCCACAAACCTTCAATTATTTTTTAAAAAGGCAGTATCTGCAAAGTACAATAAAGTGACACACAATAAAACAAGGTATGCCCATATTTTGGCACGTATTTCTAAACTTTAAAATGTGATATCAAAGGAAGGAAAAGGGTTGCCCTTTGGTGTTACAGAAATATCCCTCAACTGTTTCAGTCAGTAACCTCAGTCATTAATAAATATATTATTTGTTACATTCTTATACCTATATGTCATTCTAGTGCAAGAGAATTACCTAATTAGGGGAATGAAAAATTGAAACTATTTTAGTAGTTTCAGACAACCTACATCTCAAACTAATACTTTTAGCAATGTAACCAGAATGTAAAAAGGACAATTAGCTCTTAGAAAAGTATGGGTGCATGGATGGCTCAGTCAGGTAAGCACCTGACTCTTGGTGTCAGCTCAGGTCTTGATCTCAAAGTCGTGAGTTCAGGTCCCACATTGGGGTTCATGCTGGAAATTAAAAAAAAAAAAAAAAAAACCAAGGTGTATCTAATGGACAATTTATTTACACTTACCTGTTACTTCTTTTAACTGATTTGTTCTGCCATGGTGGATCTATCACAATTACATCATATGTTTTCCTACCTGAAAAGAAATACACAACTTCAGAAAATACCTACCTTCTGTAGGCGATGACTTTAAAAACTAAAGTGCATTGACTATAGACACAAATATAATGGAATGCAACAAAAGCACTTACAACATTTATTCAAATGGAATAATTGAATCTAAAAAAATTGAGATTTCCCTTATAATTTAGTACCACTGGGATTTTAACCTAAGTTCACCTATTCCTATTTTTGCAAAGACTACCTGAAAATAACTATAGCTCACTTAGCTGGACACCAACAATTTGTAAATGTCTTTTATGTCTTCACAGCCATATTAACATGATCCTTTCAAACCTAAATGGGTTTTTTTTTGTTGTTGTGTTTTGTTTTTGTCATTTTTTTGCTTTCGTTTTTTTAAGCTTCGATTTGAAATAATTTATCTTAAAACTGATACACTGACCTTGGTAAAACTTCCTCAATTTACAGGTGTCTTTTTTTCTGGCCCAGGATCCAAAGCAGAATCACACACTGCATCTAATTGCCATGTCTCCTCCAATCTGGGAAAGTTCCTCAGTCTTTCTTTGTCACTTATGACCTTGACACTTTGAAGGCTACTGGCCAGTTATTTTATAGAATGTCTCTTAATTTAGGTTTGGTACTTCCTCGTGATTAAACTTAGATTATTAATTTTTAGCAAGAACACTACCAAGTAATCAGGAAATACACGATGTCAAAATGTCTCATTATTGGTGATACTACCTTTAATCACTTGGTTAAAGGGTTGTCTACCAGGTTTCTCCAGTTTTCACTTTGTAATTAGTAAGTATCTTGTAAGGAGATACTTTAAGACTGTGCAAATATCCTGTGTCTCATCTTTTCATCTACTATTTTGACATCTAATTACCATGATGTTTGCCAAATAGAAACTTTATAGTTCTATCATTCCACCCACATTTTTTAACTTGAATTTCACTATAAGGAAGAGCTTTCCCTTCTGCTTTTTATAAACATATGTATATTTTGGTATATGTACAGTTTTACAAGCAATCAAAACAGTGCAAATTAAAATAAGGAAGTAATGGTTTTTAAACTATTAAAGTGACAAAAACCAAAAAGAACAGAAAACAACATTCAAACATAACTTTCCCATTAATTTATTACCCTGTCATTTACCCTAAAGAATTTATGACACTGTGACATGAATGACCACTCATATGTAACATGGCTTGACAGAAATTAAAAGAAGCATTTCCTTAATGAACTATGTCATTTAATAAATTAAAAGTTTTTATATTAAATATCCAAATAACAATATCATATTAAGTTAAACTTCATCAATACATTTCTTTTCCTACTTCAGCCCTTAAAATACTATGACTTATTAAATACGTATAAATCCCTGCCATAAGCAACTGATGCAGACACCCTTCAGAAGTAGATTATTATCATAACCATTTTATAAACTAGGAAACTGAGGCTCAGTTTTGTAAGTGAATAGCTCGAAGATTAACAGTTAAGCTTTAGAATCTAAATTCAAATTCAGGTATATATGAATGTGAATTTCAATCTTTAAATTTTGTTGACATTATATAGGAAAATATTTCAAGAAACTTTACACAATAAACTAGAACACTAGCTTAAACTGTAACTTAAAAGGCTATAGTGTTAATATTTATATCTGAAGTGTTCCTACTTCACTATAAAGAAAAGTTAAATAAAATTATTTGGCCAAGCCCAGCTGTATCATGAATTCATAAGTACAGAGCAGCAATTTACATTTGCTTTCACAGGGACAATTACTTTTTGACCCTTTGTTCATTAGTCTCATTTTTTAATTTTTTCAAAATTTTTAAATGTTTTTAAATCAAAAGACCTTTAAAATTAAACTTAAAAGAAAAAATCACACAGAGAAAATTAAGCATTTACTCTATCCTCATAAAGTTGACCCACATTCAGCATTCAGACTAGCTCTTGACTTCTGAGGCCACAAAAAAAATTATATTTTTCTAATAACATAGTAGTTACTTACAGTTCAGAAGTGGATGCATGCAAGAAATGTCAGACAAAAGAAAACTGCTTTTTGGTGGCACCAGGTATTTCTGTCCCATTAAAGTAATCATTTTTGTAATGCTAGAGTTGTTTTCAACAACCCGTGAAAATAAATCCTGTTCTGTAACAGACATATCTTCATCCATCAATTGTAACACCTGAAGTTCCATTTCATTCAGAGAAGGCAAATGCTTTGCCATTGCACATAATTCTGACAAATTGCAGGTATCAAGTGGTAAAGTAATGGGCTCACTACACTTGTCCCATTTTTCAGAAAGTGGATGAAGAAAACCACTTTTGAGACCTTCTTGGATTAACTCTGAAGAGCCATCCAAAATCAGTCCCCTGATCTGTAAGAAAAATTTGTTAAGGTACATTAAAAGGTCATTTACATTAAGACAATTCTCTAAACAATGAAATTCAACTATGCTTTGAATATTTGAACTTATGGATTGAAATCAGTATTTTATTTTTTTTTAATATTTTATTTATTTATTTGACAGACAGAGATCACAAGGAGGCAGAGAGGCAGGCAGAGAGAGAGGAGGAAGCAGGCTCCCCGCTGAGCAGAGAGCCCAATGCGGGGCTCGATCCCAGGACCCTGGGACCATGACCTGAGCCGAAAGCAGAGACTTTAACCCACTGAGCCACCCAGGCGCCCCTGAAATCAGTATTTTAAAACACTAAAATAATTTTATGATAAAATGTAAAGGCAAGAATGTGTGAGTATACCTTTGAATTGCTGTTTCCTAAATGTGGAATAAAATAAACCTCATAAATTCACTTACAATTAAATAACCAAACAATATATGTAAAAAACACATTCTTAAAAATGTATTAAGATAGGTGGGAAATAAATAAATAAATATGAATTTGATAACATGAATGTTTCTAGAAGAAAGCAGAATTTCTAATCTATAAAGCAAACTAAGCTTAGATCACATTTAATATTATATTTTTCTAATGATCTAATTTTAAAATAAACTTACCTTTGAATTTATATTTCTTAAATTGTAAAGAAAAAAATTAACCATTAAACGAACATATAAACAAAGTTTTGCGAAAATACAACTACAATCATTAGAAAATTAAAATCTAAGTTCCACTTCCGGGCAAGGCAATACCAGAGGTCAGATTTAACTTTTCATCTAAATTACTTTTTTAAAAAAGTATAAGGTGTAGGGGCGCCTGGGTGGCTCAGTGGGTTAAAGCCTCTGCCTTCGGCTCAGGTCGTGATCCCGGAGTCCTGGGATCGAGCCCCGCATCGGGCTCTCTGTTCAGCAGGGAGCCTGCTTCCTCTCCCTCTGTCTGCCTCTCTGCCTACTTGTGATCTCTGTCTGTCAAGTAAATAAATAAATCTTAAAAAAATAAAAATAAAAAATAAAAAAAATTAAAAAAAAGTATAAAGTGTAATTTTTTTAAAAGGCTTTCAAACTTTAGATGGATGTCAAGTAGTGAAAAATACTGGCCCCTAAAAAAGGAGAAATGAATGATTGTTCCAGTTTACTGCCTTGAGAAAGTTTTCAGGCAGCAGCAGAGCAAAAGTTTTCAGAGTCCAAAAGTCTCTGAGTAGAGAAGATGGAGCTCAAAGTCTGAAAAGGTCAAAGCAGCTAGAGTTTGCAGGGCAGGATACCAAAGAGGAGAGAGGTGCACAAAGAGAGAATTCTTAAAAGTTGCAGAAGGTCCACTCAAGTCTCCCCAAGGTCAGGGAAAGAAATGATGTCAAATGTTCAGAGGAAACAATCCACAGAGCTCACACCGGGCCGGGAACAGTGCTCCCATTAGCCAGAATGGAACTCTCCTAATTACAAGGCATCAGGTAGACTTCTTAAAAGGGTACTGCCTCATGAGTCAGGAAAAAAAAAATAGCTCCAAAGACTGCTCTGGTCTTAACTAAAAAAAATCTTAAAACAAGCTTCAAAACTTAAAAAAAAAAAAAAAAAAAAAAAAGTCGCAAAAGGATCAACCATTTCTTTTTCTTTTTTTAAACCCAGATATTAGGAAGATTTAAATTCCTTGATGTTGCTCACATATTTCCATTGGACAGCACTGTTTTAGTTGTTGTTGCTGTTATTGTTGTTTAAAGATTTATTTATTTGACAGAAAAGAGTGACAGAGAGAGGGGGGAACACAAGCAGGGGGAGTGAGAGGGGGAGAAGCAGGCTTCCCACTGAGCAGGGAGCCTGATGTGGGATTCGATTCCAGAACCCTGAGATCATGACCTGAGCCGAAGGCAGATGCTTAACGACTGAGCCACCCAGGCATCCCAGATCAACCACTATCAAAATAACTTTCTCCAAGAACAAATTTCAAGAATATTTATAGGAATATGAAAATATCTAGTACCCAAGAACTAAAATTGAAATGTTATACAAAAAAAATTGAAAATTACCAGATATATAAAGAAGCAGGAAAATGCAACACATTACGGAGGAATAACCACTCAATAGAAACACACAAGAATAACACAGATGAACAAACAGCAGAAAAGGCTGGATAGGTTTACTTGCAGCCCATTAAAAGATTAGGAACAGGGGCGCCTGGGTGGCTCAGTGGGTTAAAGCCTCTGCCTTCGGCTCAGGTCATGATCTAGGATCCTGGGATCAAGCCCCGCATCAGGCTCTCTGCTCGGCGGGGAGCCTGCTTCCCCCCTCTCTCTTTGCCTGCCTCTCTGCCTACTTGTGATCTCTGTCTGTCAAATAAATAAATAAAATCTTAAAAAAAAAAAGATTAGGAACAAAAGTAGAACATAATAAGGCACTTATCATATCCATATTCATATGTTCAAAAAATGGACAGAAAAAAATGAGAATGTTAAAGAGACACAAAAACTACTAAACAATATCAAGATCTTCCACGGGAAAAAAACTGCATACCACAGGAATATTGCAGGTTGAGTTACAGAGCACTGGAATAAAGCCAACTTATTGCAATAAAGTCAATCATCTGAAGCCAAGGTCTGTAAGCTGCAAAAGATTCACCTGTATTTTATAAATCAGACTATATATTCTTTTCTATAATCATTATCTTTTTTGTCCCCCTTGGTGCAGTCCTCAAAATATGCTATTTGGACTACCTCCATTGGCATCACCTAGAAGTTGTTAAAAATAAAAATTCCTACTCCCATACAGGAGATAGTGGGGTTTTAGTTCCCGGCCACAACAATAAAGTGACTATAGCAATAAAGTGTGTTAAATTTATTTTTTGGATTTCAGTGCAAATAAAAGTTATATTTATACTGTTCAACAGCAGTACAGCCTTAAAAACAATGTATATACCTTAACTTAAAAATACCTTATTGCTAAAAAATGCAAACTATCATCTGAAATTTCAGCAAGTAATATTCTTTTTGTGGGTGGAGGGTCTTGCCTCCATGTGGATAGCTATTGACTCATTAGGGTGGTGGTTTTTGAAGGTTGAGGTAGCCATGGCAATTTTTTAAAATAAGACAACAATGAAGTTTGCTGCATCAGTTGACTCTTCATGAATGCTCTTTGATAGCATTTTACCCATGGTAGAGCTTCTTTCCAAATTGGGAGTCAATCCTCTCAAACCCTGTTGCTGCTTCGCCAGCTAAGTTTATGGAATATTCTAAGTCCTCTGTGGTCATTTCAACAACGTTCACAGCATCGTCATCAGGAGTAGATTCCACCTGAAGGAAACACTTTCTTTGTTCATCCATCAGAACCAACCCCTCATCCATTAAAGCTCTGTCATGCTTGCAGCAATGTGGTCCCACCTTCAAGCTCCACTTTTAATTCTAGTTCTCTTGCTATTCCCACCACATCTGCAATGACTTCCTCCACGGAAATCTGGAACCCCTTAAAGTCATCCCTTAGAGGTGGAATTAATTAGGAATTCCTCCACATTCCTGGTAATTTTGATATTTTGACCTCTTCCTGTGAATCACAAATGTTCTTAATGGCATCTACAATAGTGAATCTTTTCCAGAAAACTTTTCATCGACTTTGTGGCCAGATGCATCAGAGGAATCACTGTCTGTGGAAGCTATAGCCCTATGAAATGTATTTCTTCAATAATAAGACTTGAGTCGAAATTACTCCTTGATCCGTGAGCTGCCAAATGGATTTTATGCTAGCAGGCATGAAAACAACATACATCCAAGTGCACATCTCCATTAGAACTCTTGGCTCACCAGGTGCACTATTAATAAGTACCATTTTGAAAGGAATCTTTTCTTATGAGCAGTGGGTCTCAACAGTGGGTTTAAAAGATTCAGTAAGCCACGCTGTAAACAGATGTGCTGTCATCCAGGCTTTGTTCTTCCACTTAGAGAGCAAACACATAGTAAACTTAACATAATTTTTAAAAAGATTTATTTATTTATTTTCGATAAAGAGAGAGAACATGAGCAGGAGGAGAGGCAGAGGGAAAGGGGGAAAATCCTCAAGCAGATGCCCTGCTAATCATGGAACCCATGGAACCAGATACAGGGTTTGATCCCAGGACCTGGAGATCATGACCCAAACTGAAATCAAGAGTCGGAGATTTAACCAACTGAGCCACCAGGTGCCCTAACTTAGCATAGTACTTAAGAGACTGAGGATCTTCAGAATGGTAAATGAGCATTGTCTTCAACTTAAAATCACCAGCATCAGTAGCCCCTAGCAAGAGAGCCAGCCTATTCTTTCAAACTTTGAAGTTAGGCATTCTTCTATCTAGCTGTAAAATTCCTAGATGCCATCTTCTTCCAACAGAAGGCTGCTTTGTCTACATTGAAAATCTGTTTAGTGTAGCCACCTTCAATAATTGTCTCAGCTACATCATCTGGATCACTTGCTACAGCTTCTCCATCAGCACTTACTGCTTCACCTTGCACTCTGATGTTAGGGAGACAGCTTCTTAAACCTCATAAACCAACCTCTGCCAACTTCAAACTCTTCTTCTACAACTTCCTTATACATCTTCTCAGCCTTCATAGAACTGAAGAGAGTTAGGGCCTTGCTCTGGATTAGGCTTTGGCTTAAGGGAATATTGTGGCTGGTTCAATCTTCTAACCAGACCATTCAAATTTTCTCCATATCAGCAATAAGGCTGATTTCACTTATCATTCATATGCTCACTGGGTTAGGACTTTAAATTTCCTTCAAGAACTTTTGCTTTGCATTCACAATTTCACTCACATTTTGGTGAAAGGGACCTAGTTTTCGGCATATCTCAGCTTTTGATCTGCCTTCTTCACTGAACTTAATCATTTCCAGCTTTTGATTTAAAGCATAAGACATGTTGGAGTTCCTGGGTGGCTCAGTTGGTTAAGCGTGCAACTCTTGATTTCAGCTCAGGTCATCCCAGAGTCATGAGATCAAGCCCCGACTCATGCTCTGCACTG